TATAGACTCTATCTCAAAATCACATAAGATAGAGTAGAAGCAATTGTAATTCAGTGATAAGGCAGTTTGGTAGCATGCTCTTTTAATTTTTTTGTTTTTGTTTTTAAAGACAAGGTTTATCTGACTGTCCTGAAAGGAGCTCTGTACACCAGGCTAGCATCAAACTCAGAGATCCCACTGATTCCGGCCCCCACATCCTGGGATGAAAGGAGGGCCAACATTCCTAGCTTTTTTTGTTTTTATATTATTGGGTGATGGGCTTGAGATGTAGGTTTTTGTGCATGTCAAAATATGCTGTTTTACAGATTTTCACCTGTATCTTGTACTTTAAAATTTGTCAGAGAGCGTCATTCTGTTTCTCAAGATGGCATGCACTCATGACACTAATACTGCCTGCGAGTTTTGAGTCATTGGATAGCAGGTGCATGACCTTCCTGCCTGTTGTGTTTTGTTTGAATTTTTAAGTGAATATGAATATTTTACCTGCATGCATGGATATACATGGGAACCTGGTCCTCACAGTGATCAAATGGTCTTAGAAACCCTGAGGTTGGAATAATGACTAGTTGTGATCTCCCAGGTAATCAAGGGCAATTGAGCCCACCTCCAGGGAAAACAAGCAAGAGCTCTTTGCTGCTATACCATCTCTCCTGTCCTGTGTTGATTATATTTGATCAACATTTATATTTCTAAAGTTTTCATCTGTCCATTTATAACTGTTACAATGTGCAGTGCCTTTTGTCAAAATCTTATTGATGTTACAGTTTGAATTGGACACTTCATGTTCTTGATGATGAAAACAGAACTGTAATGAATCCAACAGTCTTTTAAGGAACTTCAATAAAAACCTCTGAGTTTCTTCTATCTTTTTTTGTTGATTTTTGCATGGAAGACAAGGTCTTAATGTATAATTCTGGTTTTTCTGGACCTGATTTCATAGACTAGACTTCTATTCAACTCAGAGGAAGATATACCTTCCTCTGCCTTCTAAGTGCTTGTGTTAAAAGTATGAACATTACACCTACTCTACCCATCCTACTTTTCTTTTTCTGTAGTTTGTAATTATTCATACAACTTCACTCATGTGTACTCTGTACTGTTGATCTGGTTTGTCTCTCTATTTTAATAGGCATTTCTCTTGCAAGGTAATATCTCATTCAAGGAGTACAGTGTGGTGGTATTCTAATTGTACTGAAATGTGATTTTGATTGTATGTTAATAAATAAATTTACCCGGGGGTCACAGCTAGTAGAGCCATAGCAAGAGTGTGGCGATGGTGGCACACGCCTTTAATCCCATAGATCTCTGTTTGTTCAGGGATACAGCCAGCATTGGAGACATATGCCTTTAAGACCTGTGGGGCTGTACATACAGACAGTGACGAGGCAGTCACGTGTTTGGGTTTACAACCAATGAGAAAGCAGTACAAAATACTATAAAAAGACTGACAGACAGGATATAGCTCTCTTTCGGGAAGCTGGGACACCGCAGGAGGAAGGGTGAGATTTTAGCTCTGAGCTCTGACCTCTCGGCTTTCTCTTTTACATTGGTTCTGTGTTTCTTATTTAATAAGACGGTTGGTTACATCTACAGTACAGAATTGACAGAGGTAAACCTCCTATTTAGTTTTCATCTAAAGTGACTTGGTGATTATATTGTAATATCTATGTTATGAAATATTGTGAGAGGATCAGAATTATATGACTACACTGTTGTACACATGTATGGGATGTTTTAGAATGCAGTGACCTATGATGATGTGCATGTTGGCTTCACTTGGGAAGAGTGGACTTTGCTGGATCCTTTCCAGAAGAATCTCTACAAAGATGTGATGCTGGACACCTACTGGAACCTCGCTACTATAGGTAAGACTGAATATTCCTTCATGTTTTAAAATAAGGGGAAAATAGTTCCTTGGTTATTGAATCTCTTCTGTAATTTGATTGAGAAAGGAGAATGAGGTGAATAAATCAGTCATGCTTCAAAGAGTCACTGAAGACAGTAACTTAAATTTTGCAGTTTCCAGTAAAATATACATTTTCTAATACTATATTTTAGGGTACAGTTGGAGAGACAATACTACTGATGAACATTTTCAAAGTTCCAGAAGATATGAAAGGTAATTGTCTTGTGCAAATTGATAAAAATGCCCCTGTGAGGAAATTGTAATGTGTTCTGGAAGTATTAAACAAATGCAACAGTGTAAATAAGCACTGCTTGAAGTGTGTTGGTGATTATTAAATTCTTACAAAGCATATACCTCAATTTTAAGTAGGTGAATTGCATTTGCAAGGCATTCTTGCATTCTTTTAAGAAAGAAGACAAGGGAAAAATGCCTCAAGAGTTATCAATTTTTGAAACATTGCACCATGAGAGCTATGCTGTAGGACTCTAAACACATTTATTTTATCTTACTCATATTACAAAATTAATAATCAGTGAAGAGGTGAGATGTATATCTCCAAAAAAATCTAGTAAGCAGAGTCCATAGTAAAGATAGTATTGCTCATATACTTATTGTGACTTTGCTGTTTAATGAGAGGGACAGTTAGAGTCAATAGTCAAGGGGCATTGTCATGGAGAAAGGTTAATCCCTATTATAAGTCTATGAGGACAGGAAGTCAAACTGTATTCATTGTGGAAACCTTTTATTTTCATTCTTCCTTTACTAGGTATATCATTTTCACTCTGGATACAGGGATATGGAAAGAAATACTATACTTCTCTCTCAGACCAATTAGAAGATATGTAGCAGTCCCCACATTGAATATATTAGTTGAATTTGATGCAAGTATACAAGTAATTGGTTTTTCTAGCTTCATTCAAACACCAACAAACTCACATTACAGAAAATCCCTAAGAGTACTAGGACTGTGTAACTACAACATGAGTGTAAACATAGTGATAAAACCTAAAGATCTGTTTCCTTTTATAATATGATAAAATTGTAAAAATAATTTTTATATATCATCTTCACAGGCATGAAAGAACACATACTGGAGAGAAACTCTTTGAATGTAATCAGTGTGGTAAAGCCTATACTCATCAGAGTAGTCTTCAGATGCATAAAAAAACTCATACTGGAGAAAAACCCTATGAATGTAATCAATGCAGTAAAGCCTTTGTTTATCACAGTAGTCTTCAGATGCATAAAAAAATACATACTGGAGAGAAACCCTATGAATGTAACCAATGTGGTAAAGCCTTTGCCCAGCATGGTAAACTTCAAAGGCATGAAAGAACACATACTGGAGAAAAATTATACAATTGTAATCAGTGTGATAAAGTCTTTTCAAAATACATTAGTCTTCAAATACATAAAAGAAAACATAGTGGAGAGAAATCTTATGAATGTAATCAATGTGGTAAAGCCTTTGTTCATCACAGTATTCTTCGAAGACATGAAAGAATACATACTGGAGAGAAACCCTATGAATGCAATAAATGTGGCAAAGCCTTTGTTCATAATAGTGGTCTTCAAGTACACAAAAGAAGACATACTGGAGAGAAACCCTACGAATGTAAGCAATGTGGCAGAGCCTTTGCACAATATGGTCATCTTCAAAGGCATGAAAGATCTCATACTGGAGAGAAACCCTATGAATGTATTCAGTGTGGTAAAGCCTTTGTCGTCAGAGTCATCTTAAAATGCATAAAAGAACACATACTGGAGAGAAACCCTATGAATGTATGCAGTGTGGTAAAGCCTTTGCACAACAGAGTAACTTTCAAATGCATGAAAGAACACATACTGGAGAGAAGCCCTATGAATGTATTCAATGTGGTAAAGACTTTGCAAAGCGTTTCAGTCTTCAAATACATGAAAGAACACACAGTGGAGAGAAACCCTATGAATGTAAACAATGTGGTAAAGCCTTTGCACAGAGTGGTAATCTTCAAATGCATGAAAGAACACACCTATGAATGTACACAATGTGGTAAAGCCTTTGCACAAAAGAGACGTCTTCAAATGCATGAAAGAACACATACTGGAGAAATAATCTAATTAATGTGGTAAATCATTTGTATCATAGTCATCTTCAAATTCATGAAAGAACACATACTACAGAGACACCCTATGAATGTATTCATTATGATAAAATCTTTGCCTATCACAATCATCTTCAAATGTATATCAAAAACATACTGGAGAGAAACCTTATGAATGTAATTAGTGTTCTAAATTCTTTGTATGTATCAGTAATCTTTGAAATCACAAGAAAAAAAGACATATTGCAGAGAAACCTTAAAAATATAGTCTGTGTGGTAAGGTTTTGTATATTATATAGGAGTAAAACTTTTGTGTGCATCCCATCTCTTAAAGCCTTTGCTCATCACAATAAACGGTGAGTACCTGAAAATGATGCTGAGGGCTGTTTATTATAATGTATTTAGTAAGATCTTTAACCCACGCACTTACAGCCAATCACACAACATTTTATTCTGTAGAAATAAAAAGTTGACAGTTTCAACAAACTGTTCAAGCATTATGATCTTCATTTTTATACAGTTTTGCCCAGCTATCTCATGGGGAAAAATAAATTTATGAAGCACGATGTGTAGAGTGTAAGGGCCAGCTAAAGAACCAAACTTTGTCCCTGAATCCAGAGCCAGTGTGAGATACACTGTGGTCCTAAAACCAGAGGCATAAATTAAGAGGGACCAAGTTAAAGAAACACTTTTTCCCTGAAACCACAGCCAATGAAACACACTCTAGCTTTGACCAACTGATCCCAAAACAAACCAATCGATGAGCACAAAATGTAGCCTAACTCTGAGATAGTTCAAGCACAGGCATTGAAATCCAATAATTCCCACCCCAGAAATCTCCCTGGAAAAACTCAGCCCTAAGAAGTGCCATATAAGCCCTGTGCATGTTCAGTTGGCTGCTGACCTTTTCCACATTGGAAAAAGAATCCAGACTCTCTCCTTGATTCCTTGAATTACTTTTGAGTGAAGACATCCTTTTTCCCAAGTGGATCAGAATATCCCTAGTGACTTGGAGCAAAGACGCAATGGACACTTCTTCTGGGAAACTCCCTTAGGGGAGTGGAATAGAGCAACAACAGACATCAATGGTGGGAAAATTATCTTAGCAAAGTAGAGTAGAGCCCAGCTCTAAGAGCTCTTTCTCTCTCAGAGAGAAGAATTTCTTCATCTTGTGGAGAGATGGTCTCTCATGGGAGCACAGCTTTAGGTATAGCCTAACTTCTCATCAGGATACCTTTTTCCTCACAGCTGTAATTATATAGGATACCTTCCAATCACACCTGTAGGTGTAGTATAACTTCCTACAGACAGCATGCATTCCTTCATTAAACAATAACATAACCCTTTTAGATTTTATACTTCTCTTAAATTTTATGAAATAACTAACTCATCTGTAAAACTTTATGGATTTCTAGTGGTTCCGTTTCTGTTGTGATATAATGTCTAGGTCAACTTATAAAAGCGTTTAATTTGGCCCGTAATCCCAGAGGGATACATGATCACCATGAAAGTGGCATGGAAACAACTGTCAGATGTGGCAGCAGAAGCAGAAGGCTAAGAACTCACATTCTTAACTGGCAGCATGAAGCAGAGTGTGGGACCTGGAAATGATGTGTGGATGTAAATTCTCTAAGCTGGTAGTCCCAATAACATATTTCCACAGCAGGGCAGCATTACCTAAATCTTTCCAAATGAAACCACCAATTACAAAGATTGGTTTCTGGAATTCATGCCTACATACTTGGTTTTGGTTGCATGAAATAGTTCATAGTGAAGAAAAACTGTAATAAGCCATTAGACTGGCTAAACACTGGCTGTAGGAATGAATGCTTACAAGAGAAAAACTTTCATGAATGAAAAATTGGTTTACTAAAATTTTGCTTTAATTATAATTTACGTGATGTCAGTGTTTGTCTTTTGTGATCTGTGAATGTGCATGTTGTTCCTGAGAACATTAAACACTTAGATCTTCTTGTAGAAGGAATTACAGGAAGTTGTCAAAAACCATACCTTCATCATGGGAATGAACATTTCTTAATTACTCAGTTATGTCTCTAGTGATGTAAATATTTTAAAAACTATTTCTATCATTTTGATGTCAGAAAATGGGGACAAACTCATACAAGAGAAAAACCCTATTTATGTAAATAATTTGGTAAAGACTTTTGACACCACATTTGTCCTCAGCTTCAAGAAAAAAAATACATTTCATTTATTTCTCATTGTAGCCTTGAAGAAAGTAAATTACTTACCATGTTCACTCAAGACATATGGTTGAGATCACTGCATTGTGGTTTCTATTTTGAAACATTTAAGGTAGATACTAAAGTGCACTCTATGTATGGCAAATACATTTAGTGAAGTTTATTTTTTGATCTTTATATCCCTTCTGTGGCTTTTGTTCATCTACTATTGTGCTTTCACTTAGTGATAGGTGTTTTTCTGCTGTAATGAATAGAATGTGATTCCAATCATCTAAGTGGTCTATTGTTTATTTAAATATCAGGCAGCGTGTGATCATAATTTTCAAGCAAGGTTGTCTATGAAAGGGTGGTGTGTTGTTGTTGCTGGTTTTGTTTTTCATATTTTCACATATACCCTTGAGATTTTGTTGTTTGTTATTCATCCTGGCTTGGATGTCAGTAATGATTCAGGGATACATTTCAACTCAAAATATTCATGTTTCCAGAATACCATTCTGTTTCCAGAATGCATGTCTAAGGGTAGATATATACTCCCAATGTGTGCTGTTTTGTCAACAAAATTTAACAATGTTAATGTTAAAAAAGCTTAATAGAAGAGAATGCCATAAACATTAAATGTCTCATTAATGGAAACTATTAGGGGCTAATCTCCATTAGTCTCCTTCCCAGGGTTTCAGGAAGAGTTGCTACCATCATCAAGAATAATCTGAGGGAAAATATCTAAGTACACCGATCTCTGTGGTCTATGGCGGTATTTTATTTGTACAGAAATATGATTTTAATTGTATGTTAATAAATAAAGTTGCCTGGGGTCAGAGCTAATAGAGCCATAGCAAGAGCATGGTGGTGGTGGCACATGCCTTTATCCCAGCACTTGGTAGACAGAGCTAGGTAGACCTCTGTCTTCAGGAATACAGTCAGCATTGGAGACATACACCTTTAAGACCTGTAGGGCTGTACTTACAGGCAGTGACAAGGCAGTCATCTGTTTGGGATTACAACCAATGAGAAGACAGAACAGAAAGACTTTATTAAATACAAACACACAGGAAATAGTTCTCTTTTGGAGAGGTAGGAACACTGCAGTAGGAAGGGTAAGATTTTAGCTCTGAGCTCTGACCTCTTGGCTTTCTCTTTTACATTGGTTCTGTGTTTCTTATTTAATAAGATGGTTGGTTACATCTACATCTGGTGCCCAACATGACAAGAAGCCATTAAAAACTGCTTGGCTTCCCACAAGGTCTGGTTTCCCGCAAGGGTGGCCAGCTCCCTAGATTGGGCCCAGGTCGACTTGGCCTCAGGCCGGACTAACTGTGAGCTACTTGCTTAAAGCTGGTGCTACAAACAACTCAGGCCTGCCCTGCTGAACAGGGCCCCTGCCTGTAAAGCCAATGCACGTGGTTGGAGCTTAAGGAAGCCAGAGCCAAGCCTTGACTCAGATCAAGAGGGAACACATGTCTGGATTTAAGCTTTAGCTGGATACAATTTCTTGCATTCTCTCTCTCTCTCTCTCTCTCTCTCTTCCTCTCTCTCTCTCTCTCTCTCTCTCTGGATTCACACCTCGGACACTAGGTGGCTCTTTTGAAATTCTGTTGGATTTCTACTGTTCTATGCAGATTTGGTAAGTCACAACATATCAGATATTTTAAAGGAAACTATTTAAAAGAGTAATTTTTTCCACATTAAAAAAAATGGGTTTTATGTGTATATTGGAAAAATGGGTTTTGTTTGAAAATTTAGGCAGTCTGACAATGGAACAATTATATGAGAAGATTAATATTGATTGAATTATGCAGTTTATTATTATGCTTATCTTCATTTTACTATTTAAAAAGATTTAAGTGCCAGGATCACAGCTTTAGAAAAACTTGTTAAACCTGTAAATATTCAGATAGAAGAAGTTCACAGTGAAGTTGTTTCAAGTTTGGATCATAACGTTACAGAAAGAAAGCCTGTTTTCACACAGTCACCCTTAATTTTTCTCATAACTGTACAGCAGTTGCCTGATCAAATGACTACACAAAATATTTGAGCTCCAATTGAAATGTTGGATTTACGAAGGTTTAAGGAGGCAATGGTATCTTATGGCATGCATTCCCCATATGTAAAGCAAATGTTAAACTCTTGGTCAACATATAATAGGATTGTACCACAGGACTGGTGGGAGCTGGCACAAGCTGTTCTTGAACCCAGCCAGAGGCTTCAGTTTTTAACTT